AGGTTCAAGGTCAGCCTACGCTATGTAGTGTTATTGAGGCCACTCTGGGTTATTTGAGACCTTGTCTTAAAAAAACAAGACAAGAAAGGCAGGCAGATCTCTGTGAGTTCGGGGCCAGCTTGATCTACAGAGCTAGTTCCACGACAGCTAAGGCTACACAAAGAAACTCTGTCTGGAAAAAACAAAAATTATACATTAAAAAGAAAATCAAACACTTGGGAGGCAGAGGCAGGCGGATCTCTGTGAGTTCGAGACCAGCCTGGACTACCAAAAAACCAAAAAAAAAAAAAAGAAAATCAAACAAAAAGAACTTCTGATTATTTTCTTCAAGTCCTGAATGCCTATGGTTCAGGACTGTGGCTGTTTCCAGGGTCACAGTTTGGGGAATGTTCTCCGTGGGAGGGTAGTCCTCTTCTACTCCCCCCCCCCCCACTGAGCTGAGCCCTCAGAAGAAATGACTTCCTTCAGGGGCTCGTGGTCACACAGACTTGGCTGCAAAGTATCTCTTCAGGTTAATTGTGATCATCTTGGGAACAGACACAGCAATGTCTGGATGGGTGTGACTTCTCTGGTGCTTTAGCAGACTGGGGATTCTGGTCTTGGCTCTCCAGAGATGGGGGTCTGTTAAGATTTAATGCTCAGCCAGGTGGGGTGGTAAACCCTTTCATCCCAGCACTCAGAAAGCAAAGGCAGGCAGATCTCTGAGTTCAAGACCAGCCTGGTCTACAGAGTGAGTTCCAGGACACCAGAGTCACACAGAGAAGCCCCTACGGGCGGGGGCGGGGAGGAACGGGATGGGACAGAATGGGACAGGATGGGACGGGCCCTACTGCTCTTGGTGTCCTTATTCCTGGATAACTAAAGAGTGTCTTCAGCCATTTTCCTGCAACCGGTCATGCCAGTTTCTCTGCTGGAATTCTTTTATTTTTATTTTTCTTCAAGACAGTGTTTCTCTGTGGCTTTGGAGGCTGTCCTGGAACTAGCCCTTGTAGACCAGGCTGATCTCGAACTGCCGGAATTCTTTAGTATGCTTTATTCTTGAAGTACTTTACATCCTGACCCCTTAGCTGGGTAACCAAGCCGTTGGCTCGTGCGTTCGCCGTCCTGTGTCCTCTCTCTGTCATCCTGCACGTGCAGCCAATTCCTCCTCTGACTCTCCGACTGCCGCTTAGGGACCAGAGATGCCAGGTCCTTCCCTAGCAAGAGAGCATCTAGCCTGGAATCCCATCTTCTGGCACACAGTCCTTTGAGCAGCCGTGAAAGGCGTCTGCTTTGGCACCGAAAGAAGGACACTTAGACACAAGGGAAAGAGAGAGAGACAGGCTGCTCCCAGAGAGAGAAAAAGAAGCCCAGAGGGCAGCCGCCCTTGTTCCTCAAATAGCCTAGTACCAGGTTCCCTTTCCTTCCAAGAAGGGGCCTGTCTCTGGGACTGGCTGGAAAGTCTTCTTGTAGCCAATTGAATTTTGACCAGGTTGTCAGATTTTCAGAATCTGTTCTGGGGCTGAGGTCAGGCCTGTCCCCAGCCATTAGGGCAGTGGCTGCGGTGGTCTGATGGATGCCAGGCCTGTGATTTTCCCCAAACTCCTCCCAGCTGGTCTTGGGGCAGCCCCATCCCTCCACTTTTTGAAGAAATGGTTTTGGCAGTCTGGCATCTTAAAGTCAGTTTAGGCAATTTGAATTGTTTCTCATCCCATTGGTCATCATCAAGACAAGATTTCAAAAGTTGAAAAGTTTATTAAGAACATCTTCCAGAGGGCAAGAGAGATTGTCTAGTGGTTAGAACACTTGCAGTTCTTGTAGAAGACCCAAAGATAGAGCCTGGTTGCCCCCCCTTCCTCCCTCCCTCCCTCCCTCCTCTGCTTCTTCCTCTTTTTCTGTTCAGAAAATTCTCAGGATTTTCCTGGGTAACCTAGGCTAGCCTCAGCCTCTCAATCCTCCCGCTCCACCCTCAGAGTGGTGAACCCTGTGGGGTCATAGGCACGGTCACACCTTCCTCCTGGCTGGCCTGGGACTTACTAGGGCAGCTTTCCGGCTGGCCTTAAACTCACTATAATTGTGTCTGGTGTCTCCCACAGGCAGGAGCCACCACACCCAGCTGAATGCCTTTGTCTCTCCTCTTTATCTTTTGTCCTGCAGTCTCTGTGGGCGTGTGCTCTGGGTGTAATAAAATATGACCAATTAATTCACAAGCTTGTGGTGGGGGCTTGGGCACATTTTCATGATTAACAAGAGGAGGGAAAAGGAGGTTGAAATTGGCTTTTCTGGTTTTAGAACATGGTAGCTCCATTTTAAAAAAAGCCTATTATCTTAACTATGCATTAAAAAAATCTTCTTGAGTTAAAGCTGGGTAAAGCAGTATTTCTTCCAAATGTGCTCTTTAACTAGGATCCACCATGCAGCTTCAGTGAATACACGGGCTCCTTTTATATCAATGGCATTGCTAAATCAAAATGTGCAGAAACCCACAAGAACGCCCATTCTTCATAAGACAGTGACAGCGCCAGCAGCCTGGCTTAGGCTCTTGTTTCTGGAAGGAACACTTTCTTCTCCAGGAGCACTGCTGGATTATGCAGGTACAAGCCACTGGCTTGCCCCGTACACACACACACACACACACACACACACACACACACACACAGAGAGAGAGAGAGAGAGAGAGAGAGAGAGAGAGAGAGAGAGAGAGAGAGAGAGAGAGAGAGAGAGAGAGAGAGAGAGAGAGAGAGAGAGACCGGGTTATAGAGATTCAAGCTACCCCCCCCCACAGGCACACACAATGTGAGTTAGTGATATTTTCTTAGATCCAATCCGCAAGTTATAGTGTTTTATGGGTTGAAGTGGATAGAAGGGAATTGTTGGTCAGGACAATCCCATCGAAGGGATTGTGAATAGTTTTGCAGAGGAGAAATGAGTGGGTGTCCCATTGTCACAAAGAACCAGCCTCCATTGTCAGGCAGGCTCCACCGCTGTGACCTTGGGTGAATTAACTCATGTCCCAAGCCTTCATTTACTGGCCTTACACTTGTATATCAGGAAAAAAGAAGCCGATTTGCAGGATGGAGAGATTTGCAGCAGAGCTCCAGGATGGGGACCCAGATGGGAGATGAGGAGAGAATCCAATCCAGAGAGTTGTCTCATGACCGCTACTTGTGTGCTATACCAAGGGTGCACCTGTAAGAAGTGTCTGCACACGCCGGGCAGTGGTGGCGCACGCCTTTATTCCCAGCACTCGGGAGGCAGAGGCAGGCGGATCTCTGTGAGTTCGAGGCCGGGCTGGACCGATAGCCTCCGAAACAATACAGAGAAACCCTGTCTCGTAAAAACCAAAAAAAAAAAAAAAAAAAAAGTGTCTGCACACATAATAATAATAATAATAATAATAAATAGCAGCCAGGGATTGGTAAGATGACTCAACATTTAAGAGCCCAGACAATTTAGGCTGTTGCAAGCAACTGAACACCAGCTCCACACCCTCTTCTGGACTCAGTGGGGACTTCTACTGACATATGGGGACACACACACACACACACACACACACACACACACACACACAAACTCGAATGTGTGTTTGCGAGGTCTTTTGTTTGCTTTTTGAGACAGGGTTTCTCTGTGTAGCCCTGGCTGTCTTTGAACTCACTCTGTAGATCTGGATGACCTCAAACGCAGAGATCCATCTGCCTCTGGCTCCTGAATGTTGGCATTACAGATGTGCACCACCACTGCCCAGCTTACTCAAAAAGTTTAAAAAAATTTTTCAAGTTAATCTGTACCACACTGTTAAAATAATTTGTTTAAGTTTATAGACACAAGTTATTAAGTCTGCTAGATAAATGTTAACTATGCCTATTCCTATAATGTAATGGCTCTTTGGGGAAGGGTGGGGAGGGGCCGGATGGAGAGGGGAGGGGAGGCACAGACTGGGTATGGGGAGGGCTGGGCAAGCTGCGGCAGCCATGATCTGCACTGGTATACTGGGTTGCTAACCTTACAGGGCAGGATTGCTATGGGCATGAAGGTCATGCTCCACTCAGCATATGGCCAGCCAGTCTCAGGAGCCCCTTTTCATCCCTGCCCTTCATAATTCAGGCTGTAATTCCAGCATTTAGGCGGTGTAGGCAGGAGGATCAGAGCCCAAGGTCATCTTTGACTTCATGGTGAGTTTGAGGCCAGCCTGTGCTACATGAGATCCTGTCTCAGGAAAAATAGCTCTAGGACTATGCTACTGAGGTAAACAGCCAGCAGGGGTACATATGGAACAGGCTCCTGGATTGATCTCTCCTGACAAACCTACATTACTCTCCACACACCGACAGCTGTTATCCCCAGGACTTCGTCGGCATGAATGAGTAGCCTCTCACTCACGCTGAGTCTCCCACTCTCCCTGTACCTCCTATTCCTGTCATCTTTCAGTCTTCCCTACAGAAGCCTGAATCTCTAATCCTTGGCTCCACTCACCCCCAGTGACACACTTCCTCCAGCGAGGCCACACCTACTCCAACAAACCACGCCTTCTAATCCTTCCCAAAGAGTGCTACCCCTTGACGACTAAGCCTTCAAATATGTGACCCCATGGGGGTCATTTTTATTCAAATCACCATAATCCTCAGTGATGATCCATTTTGTGGTGTGTGATGGATTTTCCTTCTTTTGAAGGCTGAATACTATTCTACACTTGTGCACACTACATTCTCGTATCTGTTGGTGCACTAGATACTATTCTACACTTGTGCACACTACATTCTCCTTAGTCGGTACACTGGTAGACATTTGAGATGCTTCCTCTCTTTGCTATGGGGAACAGTGCCTATGTGGATATAGAAATGAAACATCTCCTTGAGACTCTGTTTTAAAAAAAAAAAAACATTTCCACAAGGCCGGGCGTGGTGGTGGCCGTCTTTAATCCGGAACACTCAGGAGACAGAGGCGGGTGGGTCTCTGTGGGCATACCACCATGCCTATGCACGACAAGGACAAGAAGGTTTTTTTATGTCATCATTTCTGTTTATTTTCCTGGCAGCCCTAGCGTAAATCCTTACAGGCAGAAATCCAGCCCCACTCTCCACTCCAGGAGCCTCTAACTGGCTGGCTTCCATCAGTCCATCTGGATATCACAGGATGAATCTGAGGAAGAAGGCGGGGGAGGGGTGAGTGAGGAGGGCTAGCCAGCCCTGGGCTACCTGTCCCTTATTCCACCCTGGAACTTGGTGGCCTCCCTCTAGAAGCCTCCCCTCATGTGGGCCACCTGCTGTGCCCCATAGTCTAACTACCCTACCCTCACCTTCTTCCCTCCTGCCTGTGAGCTTGGGAGGAGGCTGGCTCTGTCTCGGAGGCTCTGTCCTCAGCATCAGCATCAGCATCTGATGTTCCTCCTCCACACTCTGGCTTCCCCCAGGACTCCTGTTGCCCTGGTGAGAGAACCCACAGACCTCAGTTAAGAAAGCTTGAAAAGTCATGACTTAGGCAGCCGGTCTACTTGAGTCTGAGGACCCAAGCTCCTCCTCTGGCTGTTGGAGACCACTCAGAGGCTGCTGTTCCCATAGGTGCTGGTCCTGCCTGCTTCTCCAGGGTGAGCCGCAGACAGAGCTGTGCAGGATCCCAGAGCAACTGAAGGCACAGCATCTTAACTGTTTGTCCTCTTTGTATTTTTTTTAAATTAAACAAGAAGGATTAAAGATTTATTTATCTGTCTCTATATGTACGAGTGCTTTCCTCGCTCATACCTATGTCTGCACCAGGTGAATGCCTTTGCCCAAGAAGGCCAAAAGAAGGCATTAGATCCCCTGGAACTGGAATTATGGGTTGAGTCACCTTGTGGATGCTGGGAATGGAACTTGGGTTCTTTGTTGGGGGGCAATGAGTGCTCCTCAATGCTGAGTCATCACTCTGCCTGCCCCCCCCTTTGTTTGGATTTTTGATGCAGGGTCTCACCCTTGTAGCCCAGGTTGGTCTAGAACTCATGTAATCCTCCTGCCTCATATGATGGGGTTATTTTTTTTCACACAGCCCCACAGTGCCTACCGAAGTACCCCACCTGGTGCAGGCATGCGTTGGATATTTGTTAAATGAATGAGAAAATGCCCTGAGAAGGCAGAGGAACAGCGTGTAAGAATAGAAGGATAGGGAAGGAGAAGGGGAGGAGGCAAACGTAAAGGACCTTAAGCTGGTGGGAACCATGTCTAAAAGGGAACTGGTTTTGGCAGCTAAAAAAGAGGCAAAGAGGCCAGGCCTCCCCAGCTGTTCCTGCTGCTTCCTGACCTGCAGCTGGAGTAGAAATGTTGTGTTTTTATTTGTTTGGCTTGAGTGGCTAATCACCATGCCAGTAAGACAGTGCGGTGAGAGAGAGAGCAGAGAGCAAGAGCGAGGAGAGCAGGGAGATGAAACTGTGACTCTAATTCCCAGCTGAGAGCAAAGCAGCTGTGGAGGGCATAGCTAGGAGGGAGGGGTGGGTGGGCCCTCGGGGGGTCTGGGGTGGAAAGCAAGCCTTGTGGAAACAGCCATGAATCCAGAATGAGGTGTGTGTGTGTGTGTGTGTGTGTGTGTGTGAGCACACTAAAATTTAACCATTGCTCGTCAATAATCCTAATCTAGATTCTGTCTCATACAAGCAGGGTGGGAACCCCACCCACTGAGCTCCAGCCCCAATCCTCTTTACTGCATTGACAGGTCCAGTTTCTTGGTTGTATGTGATTTCTAATTTAGAAAGGGAGGGAGGGAAAAAAGAAAGAAAAAAGCTGGGTGTGGTGGTCCACAACTTTAGGTTATGCACTCAGAAGGCAGAGGCTGGAGGATCTCTGTGAGTTCAAGCCCAGCCTGGTCTACATAGCAAATGCCAGAACTACACTGATAGACCCTGTCTCAACAGCTTTCCCCACTCCAAGCCAAAAAATATTACTATTATTATTGCCATCGTCATTATTTTGTGTGTGTGAGTGTTCTGCTTGCATGGATGTATGCAGTATGTATGTGCCTGGGCACCCACAAAGGCTGGAAACAAACATTGAATTCCCTAGAACTGGAGTTATAGGTGGGTGTGAGCCACAATGCAGGTGCTGGGAATTGAACCCAGGTCCTCTGTCAAAGCAATAAGTGCTCTTAACCACAGAGCCATCTCTCCAGCCTCCTGACTTTTGATTCTTCCTGATTTTCTTATTAAAGCAGCCTTTATTGAACATCAGCACTATTCTGTATTTGAGATAAGGAGGCAAGAGCTCTTGGGTTTAAGGCTAGATGGGGCTAAAAACCAAACCTCAATGAAATCAAAATATGACAGCTTTGGGCTGGCAAGATGACTCAGTAGGTAAAGGTGCTTGCCACAAACTCTGACCAGCTGAGTTCAGCCTTAAGCACTTTCATAGCAAACGAAGAGAACAGACTTCCACAGTTGTCCTTAGACATCCACATGAATGCTGTAGCACAAATGCATTTGAGCACGCACACACACACACACACACACACACACACAAAATATAATTTTAAAAAAACCAACAAAAGTAAGAATTTGGGGCCAGGAAATGATGTTACACACCTTAAATCCTACTACTCAGGAGGGAAAGGCAGACAGATCTCTGTGAGTTTGAGGCCAGCCTGGTCTACAGAGTGTGTTTCAGGACAGCCAGGGCTATTAAACAGAGAAACCCTGTCTCAGAAAAACCAAAACAAATACCAAAAAAAAAGCATTTGGTGCTGGGCGTTGGTGGCGCACGCCTTTAATCCCAGCACTCGGGAGGCAGAGGCAGGTGGATCTCTGTGAGTTTGAGGCCATCCTGGTCTACAAAGCGAGTTCCAGGACAGCCTCCAAAACAATACAGAGAAACCCTGTCTCTAAAAAAAAACCCAAAAAAAAAAAAAGCATTTGGTTTATTTGCTTGTTTATTTGTGGCAGTCACATTCCATAGTCCAAGCTGGCCTTGAATTTGGGGTCAGCCTCATTCCTTGGTATCCTGAAGACTAGGATTATAGGCAGGTGCTTTTTTTTTTTTTTTTTTTTTTTTTTTTTGGTTTTTTGAGACAGGGTTTCTCTGTATTTCTTTGTAGGTTGTTCTGGAACTAGAGCAGGCTGGCCTTGAACTCACAGAGATCCACCTGCCTCTGCCTCCCAAGTGCTGGGATTAAAGGTGTGTGCCACCAACGCCCGGCTGTGGTGCTGTCTTAGTTTGGGTTTCTTTTGCTGTGAAGAGACACCATGACCAAGGCAACTCTTAACAAGGAAAACATTTAATTGAGGGTGACTCACTTGCAGTTTTAGAGGTTCAGTCCATTATGATTATGAAGAGAAGCATGGCGGCGTTCAGGCTGACATGGTGCTGGAGGAGTAACTGAGAGTCCTACATCGTCCAGACAACAGGAAGTTGACTGACTCAATGGGCAGTATCCTAGCGCATAAAACCTCAAATCCCACCCTACAGTGACTCACTTCCTCCAACAAGGCACTAATTTAGTTCCACTCCCTTTGGGAGTTGTTTTCTTTAGGACATTTTCAGGTGCACAGGATGGAATCCAGGGCGTGTTCGCATTAGGCAGGCACCTTACCATTGAGCTATCCTCCCCACTGGAGAATCTGATTTTTGAGGGGAGTTTCTGGAATCCCAGGCTGGCTTCCAGCAGGTTATGCACGCAGTGATGACTTTGAACTCCCATCCTCTTGTCTCTACCTCTCTCCTAGGATTGCAGGTGTGTGCCACGAAAAATTTCCAAGAACTTTTCTAACAGCTGCACGAAAAACCTGGAGGAAGATTATTTGAATTTATATGCAAATTGATGCCAAAAATTCTTCACATTCACAGAGGGAAAAGATGAGGATTCTAGGTGGGACTATGGGACAAAATGATTCTTCTTTTTTTTTTCTTTCTGGTTAGTGCCTAAGGGAACTCTGAAATTAACACAAATGCTAAAAATCTGCAAGAAATTGGATATATAAAATACAAAGGCAAAAAAAATCAACACAAACCTGTTCTTATATGAAATGAATTGCTGAGACAGTGTGGGCTAAAGGTAAATCAGGCTCCTTGTTCTCTCTCATTCTGCACGTGTGTGTGTGTGTGTGTGTGTGCACATGTGTATGTGTGTGTGTGTGCATGTGTGAGTGTGCACAGGTGCACGTGTATGTGCTTGCATGTGGAGGCCAGGGATCTCCTTCCTCAGGAGCTGTCCACCATGTGTCTCTCACTGGCCTGGAATTCAGTTAGGGTACCCAGACAGCCCCAGGGATTTGTCTTCACCTCCTCAGCTTTGGGTTACTCCCCTGCCACATGCACAGCTTTTTTTAAAAAAATGATTTATTTATTTTATTTTATATGTGTGGATGCTTTGTCTGCATGTATGACTTTATGCCAGGATAGGGCATTGGTTCTTACCATAGATGGCTGTGAGCCACCATGTGGTTGTTGGGAATTAAACTCAGGCTCTCTGGAAGAGCAGCCAGTGCTCTTAACCCACTAAGCCCCACAGGCACAGTTTTTACGTGAATGCTTGAAGTCAGGTCTGTATGCTTGCACAGGAAGCAGTTTAATGGCTGAGTTATCTCCTAAGAGCCTGTTTTGTTGTTTGCTCGTTTTATGATTATTTATTTATTTATTTATTTTTTGGTTTTTCGAGACAGGGTTTCTCTGTGGCTTTGGAGGCTGCCCTGGAACTAGCTCTTGTAGACCAGGCTGGCCTCGAACTCACAGAGATCCGCCTGCCTCTGCCTCCCGAGTGCTGGGATTAAAGGTGTGCGCCACCAATGCCCGGCTGATTATTTATTTTTAATTTTGTGAATATGCATCTGTGGGGAGGTGTCAGATAGATACCGAGACTATACATAGGCAGGTGTGAGCTGCTCAGCCTCCCATTTTTCATGTTTATTTTTTTAAACCTTTTGAGACAGGGTCTGACACTGTATGTACCTCAGGTTGGCCTTGAATTTATGGCAATCCTCCTGCTTCAGCCTCCCAAGTAGTGGGATCTCGCATGTGTGGCTCTAGTCGTGTTCAACTGCCTTTTTCTGGAACTTCCAGTACAACGAGGATCACTTTCAGCCTCAAGTCAGACAGAAATGCTGTATTCTTAGTAAGAGTAAAAGTAGAAAAAAGGGGGGGGGGGAAAAGATTCGTTTTAGTAGAAGAAAAGGATTTCTTTGAAAAATTATATTCTAAAACTTTTTTAGCTGTATGTTATTTTATGTGTGTGAGTGTTTGGCTTGCATGCATGTATGTATGCATACATGTACACTACAAGCATGCCTGATGCCCTCAGCGGCCAGAAAAAGCATTGGGTCCCATGGAACTGGAGTAAGATGGTTGTGCCACCCCATGGGTGCTGGGAAACCCAGATCTTCTGCAGGAGTAATAAGTGCTCCTAACCACTGAACCATCTCTCCAGGCCTCTTTTGACACAGTGTCTTTCTATGAAGCTCAGGCTGGCTTGGGCTCCAAACAGTCCTCACCCCTTAGCTCCCGAATGCTGACATCAATTAAGCATGAACCATAATGGCCAGTGATATTCAAAACTTTGGACAGTAATCTGGGTGGTCATGCCGCACGCCTTTAATCCCAGTACTCAGGAGGCAGAGGCAGGTGGGTCTCTGTGAGTTTGAGGCCAGCCTGGTCTACAGAATGAGCTCTAGGACAGGTTCCAAAGGTACACAGAGAAACCCTGTCTTGAAAAACAAAAACAAAAACAAAAGCCAAAAAAACTTTAGGCAGTAAACTCCTCAACACACTCAGAGTAGACTTGTACATTGGGCACCAGGCTCTTGTCAGGAGTCTCTCCGGGCACTTCAGGCTGACCACTGTATAGCCTTGCTGTCCTTCATGTGACATGTCTGCGTGAGGCTGATTCAAGGAATATAGTGCCAAGAGTCTCATTCCCAGAAACCTCATTCCAGGAACAGATTCAAGAGCCATAGCAAGCAGGAAGGCTGGCACCCACCAATCAGCACAGCACCCTTGTCCGGGAAGAGAGATTTTGGGACCTTCTCCTCAGAAGCAGACTTTGGACAGGGTGATATGAAGAGGTCCTGCTTTATTCCTGCGGAAAAAGCCCATTTCAGAGGCCAGGCCTGAGATCAACGGGCGGACGCAGTGGGAAGGGACCCCTAAGATGTTGAAACTTGCTCTCATCCCGCAGGGCCAGCTGCTCCCTTGCTCCTCCATCGCTTTATTGCTCAACCCCACTTTGCCATTGGGAAGCAAACAAATTCCATGTTTGGCCTTAGTTAGTCCAAGTTCAGTCCTCGCCCCCCTTCCCTGATACAGAGTCTTGACCGAGTCAACATTAAAACAGTGACATTCTTTGTTTTCTCGTCTTGACTGGGGTATAATTAATCTGCAGAAAGGCTACATGCAGCTGGGTGTGATGTCGAATGCCTTTAACCTCATACTCAGGAGGTAGAGATAGGAAGATCTCTGTGAGTCTTTGAGGCCAGCCTTGGCTACACAGTGAGTTTTAGGTTGGCCAGGGCTACCTAGTGAAACCCTATCACAAAAAGGAAGAAAAAAAAGTAAAGAAAGATATATTAGATTGTACAATCGATGTTTGCTATACACTGTGTAGTAATCATCATGATACACCTATCATCTCACATAGTTGTGTGTGTGTGTGTGAGTGTGTGTGCCCGTGCGTGCATGTGTGAGTGTGTGCAGTGAGAAGACAAGATTTTTACGTGTTTGTTTCTTGTATTTTGAGACAGCATCTCACTCTGTAACTCAACTTGGTTAGAGCCAGGCTGGCTTCTGGCTCATGGCAGTCACATTTCCTCAGCCTCCCCATCACTCCTGTAATGGCTACACCACCATGGGTGGATGAGACACACTCTTTTCATCTTTAAAAAGATTTATTATCTTAATTTTTGGGTGTGCGTAGGGAGTGGGTATGTGTATATGTGTACAATACTTACTGGCTTACTCTCATGTCTTGCCCAGTTGGCTTTCTTATTCACAACTGGACCATCGCCAAGGGACAGCACTGCTGACAGCAGGCTGGGACCTCCCACATATCAACCTTAAGGGTTTCAGTCTTTAAAACGGTACCACATGCTCAGGACAGAGCAGTCAAAGCATGAGCCTGCTGATGACATTTAAGACTGAAACCATTACAATAAATAGTTCATCTCACACTACAAATCTATACAGCTATGTTGGTGATTCTATCTATCTATCTATCTATCTATCTATCTATCTATCTATCTATGTATCATCTATCTCCTATCCATCCACCTACCCATCCATCCATCCATGCATCCATCCATCCATCCAGAACAGCCTCAGAAGGATTATGTCTCCAGTGAAGGATGTGAGAACTGTCTGAGAGGAGCAAAATGACTTCTCAGTCATACACAAAGTGATAAACTATGTCTTTCTCTGTCTGCCCAAGCCACCTCTACTGGACACTGTAGCTCGTTGTCACCATGGTTTGCCCTAACAGAACCACTCTTGGTTGATGCCTATGCTACTTTTTAGACTTTGGATGGTTTGGAGTGGATTTGGCATCTAGCCTTCTGTGTATACTGACTTTAAAATCCTTATATTTTGGCCTGAGAGATGGCCCAGCAGTTAGGTGACTCTTGCTCTTTCAAGTCCCCAATTAAATGTTTCTTCTATAAGTTGCCTTGGTCATGGTGCCTCTTCACAGTCATAGAATGGTGACTAGAAATAATATGACAAGCCCAAATCAAGGTAGTGTATGACAGCAATGTCAGCACTGCAGAAAATTCTTAAAGGAGTATTCTACATAGAAAAAAGAGGAAGGAGGAAGGAAGGAAGGAAGAAAGGAAAGAAGGAAGGAAGGCGGAATGAGGAGGAGAAGGAGAAGGAGGAGGAGGATAGGTTTCTCTATGACAGCACAGGACACAATAACCTTTCATGAGAGGAACCAAGGAACACAGGAACTGGGAAGACGGAACCACATCCACAGTAAGCCAGCAAACCCCTAACATGAACAGCAAGGATGAAGAAATAGCCAGTAATTCAACCAATCCAAGCAACTGCCTCCAAACTATAGGGAAGGGCAAACACCTCTCATTAGGAACCTTGAATACCTAACACATTTGATGACAAGACCTAATGTAGCACAGGGCAGGAAAGAATGAATGAGCTAGCGGCTAGGAAAACAATACAGAGAATCAAAGGGCAGCTTCTTTGAAAAGACTGAGACAGAGTCTAGTCAAACTAGGCAAAAGAAAGACAGGAGAAAAAAATTAATAAAGTTAGACATGAAAGGGAATTGTGCCAGGCGGTGTTGGCACCACCTTTAATCGTAGCACTCAGGAAGCAGAGACGGCTCGATCTCTGTGAGTTTGAGACCAGCCTGTTCTACAAAGCGAGTTCCAGGACAGTCAGGCCTACACAGAGAAACTCTGTCTTGGGGGTGGGGAGAAAAAGAAAGGGAATTGTTACAGTAGATACCAAGGAAATCCAGAGGACTACTTGAGAATATTTGGATATTTATAGGATCTTTCTTGAGGAAATATAGAGATTAAAGTTATAGTTGAAAGTCCCCCTTATAAAAAGACCTGGAGCGGAAGGATTCACTACTGAATTCTACCAAAGGTTGAAGAACGATTACACACTAATGCTTATCAAATTGTTTCACAAAATGGAAAGGGATGGAACATAATTCTGGTGGTCAGAATGGAATCAACCCCCATAGACTCATAGGGAATGAATGGCATTATTGGAAGTGTGGCCTTATTGGAGTGGGTGTAGCCTTGATGGAGGAAGTATGCCACTACTGGGCTTTGAGGTTTCAGAAGCTCAAGCCAGGCCTGACTCTTCCTGCTGCCTGTGGATCCAGATGTAGAACTCTCAGCTTCCTCTCCAGCCCCGTGTCTGCCTGCACACCTCCATGCTCCCATCATGATGACAATAATGGACTGTACCTCTGAACTGTAAGCTAGCCCTAATGAAACCTTTTCCTTTATGAGAGTTGCTGTGGTCATGGTGTCTCTTCACAGCAAGAAAACCCTAAGACAATAACCAAACGAATTCTGTGACCAATACTAACATTTTACTGCCATCAGATAGGACAGAGCAGTAAAACAAAGAAAAAAGCACAAACCAATCTTGGTGATGAACATAGGTGCAAATATGCTCAACAGACACTAGCAAGAGGCAGGCAGAGCTCTGTGAGTTTGAGGCTAGCCTCATCTACATAGTAAGTTTCATAATGTCTAGGGCTGTCTAGAAAGATCCTGTTTAAAAAACAAAGCAAAGAGATACTAGCAAGCCGAATTCAAGAACACATTAAAGAGAACATAAAAAAACAACCAAGTCGATTTTATCCCAGAAATGCAAGGTTGGTTCACATATTTACATTGACAACTGTAATTCACTCCAGAAATAGAAGTGTGTCTCACTGTGTAGCCTTGGTTAGTCTGGAGCTCTTTATGCTTCCAAAAGCAAGTGTAGTTATGCAGGCACACATGCACGTGCACACACACACAGACACACACACACAGACACACACACAGACACACACACAGACATACACAGTCACACACACAGACACACACAGACACACACACAAACACACACACACAGACACACACACAGACATACACACAGACACACAGACACACACACAGACACACAGACACACACACAGACACACACACACACAGACACACACACAGACACACACACAGACACACACACAGACACACAGACACACACACAGACACACACACACACAGACACACACACAGACACACACACAGACACACACACAGACACACACAGACACACACACAGACACACACACAGACACACACAGACAGAGACACACACATACACAGACACACACAGACATACACACAGATACACACAAGACACACACAGATACACACACAGACACACACACAGACACACACTAATGAAATTGTATTTTAAAACTGAGTTGAAGGTAGACTGGCTTTTGGACTGTGAGAACACTTATTGGTGTGACATTTTCCACCTGAACTTGTTAAATACCTAGAAACAGAAAGACAATTCTAACACCTTATGATGCCATAATACGTGCTCTTTAGCGTTCTTCTTTTACTTTCTATTTGAATTTTGAAGCA